CGACTTCTTGGTGCATGGGTCAGTGCTCAACCACTGAGCCACATCAGCCAGCTGGGCAGCCTTCCTCTCAATCCTCTTCCTCTAGCCCAGCCCTGACCCCCTTAGGTCTGGGAATGCCTGTGTTCTGCTCTGACATTCCCCAGCCTGAGGGGCTGCCAGGCAGGATGAAGAAAGTGTCTGCCACTTCCTCCAAGCCCTCACCCCACTCCACACTGCCCCAAGCAATTCTGGTGAGCCCAGAGATGTTCACTGCAGTGTTGTTTTCAACAAGGAAACAGAGAAGCAGACCAACACATTGGTGTTGGCCCTACAAGGGAACTCTGCATGGAACTAACAAAAACCAGGCAACTCGGGACATTCTGATATGACAGACGCTGAGTGATGATGATGTGAAAACACCCACAAAAAGCAGTGTGTCCAGCTCAACATTGGGTGGAACCATCCATAGCCTTGAAAGGTCACATTTCAGGGCATAGGTGGGTAGACATAGGCCCCGAAGAACCATGGCTGACACCGACCAGGTCAGGGCAGGGGCTGGCAGCCTTGAGCTTCAAGGGAACCATTCCACGTTCTCTCCCCACAAGAATGGTGTCTAGTGTTAATTCTGGAATAAAAAGTGAACTTAAAATGTACATCAGTATATTTTCCATAGTTCAAAAAATCTAAATGAGCTGAAAGAATCAGGAAAAACAAACAAACAAATGTGACCACAGCCGCTTCCTAAGGACACCTCTGAGGCCCATGGCTTCACCTCTAGTTCCTGAACCCATATCTAGGGCCATGTGTGTTACAGAGGAGCAGGACACACCTGGAATAAAATGGGCCCCAGAAGGCCCAGGGAGAGGGGCCAGACGGGTTCATGGAGAGGATGCAGCGGCTTCTTGGGGCTGCTGGTGGCTATTTCTGCCTAAGTGCCCACTGTGTCCAGGCACTGGGTCCTGATGTCCCAATGTGAAGCTTTGGAACAAATGCTTTCATTTCAGGCAAAGGAAACTGAATCCCAGTGAGGCTACCAGGCTTCCCCTAAACCCCGCAGCCAGTGGCCCCCTGCCCCTCGTTGGTCCACCCACTCCCCCAGGAATGCTCTGGCAGGTGCTGGGGGCCAGTCTACCCTGGAATCCAATCCCAGCTCTGACATCTCCCCCATGGCAAGTACCTCAGTTTCCCCATTTGCACAACAGGGGCAATGGCAGTTCCTTCCCCGTGGGATCAAGAGGATACACATGAAACACGCATGAGTCGTTCAATCTGCTGCCTGTGCATAGTTAAGCGACATATGTTAGGTAAAACTGTCATCTCTACATCTCTGGTCTCCTTTACGAGTTATATGGTGAGCAGACATTATCTTGGAAAGCAGGAAAAATGTCCCAACATTTAATGCAAATCAAAACCACAGTGAGCCTGGCCAGCATGGCTCAGTGGTTAAGCATTGACCCATGAACCAGGTGGTCATGGTTTGATTCCCAGTCAGGGCACATGCTGGAGTTGTGGGTTCGATCCCCAGTAGGGGGTATGTAAGAGACAGCCGATCAATGACTCTCTCATAAGTGATATTTCTATCTCTCTCCCTCATCCTTCTTCTCTCTGAAATCAATAAAAACATATTTAGAAAAAAACACCATGGTGTGAGATACCATGAGAACCCCACCCGCACAGCTGGAGCCAGTCATCATCACAAGTGTTGGTGAGGACAGGGAGAAACTGGAGCTTCGTGAATAGCAGGTGGGATGCAAAATGAGGCAATGCTCTGGACAGCACTCAGCCGCTCAAAACATTACACACAGAGTTACCACCTGAACGAGAAATTCTACTCCTAGATGCACACCCAAGAAAACTGAAAACATATGTTCACACAAAAACCTGCATATGCATGTTCACGGCAACAGGATTCACAATTGCAAAAGATGGAAACAACCCAAGTATCCATCCATGGAAGAATGGATAAACACAATATGATCCATCCACACATGCTGGAATATTAGTCAGCCATGAAAAGGAGTGAAACACTGATACTCACTACAATGTGGATAAACCTTGAATACATGATGCTCAGTGAGAGAACCCAGACACAAAAGGTCACACAACCTGTGATTCTATTTATGTGAAATGTCCAGAATAGGCAAATCTACAGAAAATGGGTCAAGGGCTGGGGAAAGGAATGAGGGTGACTGCTAAGGGGGAGGGCTCCTGTTGGGGTGATAAAAATGTTCTAAAATTGATTGTGGTAGTGGGTGCACGATCCTGTGAATATACTAAAAACCAGTGAATTGCACACTTTAAATGGGTAAATTATGGTGCTATGCAAATTTTCTATGAATAAAGCTGTTAAAAAAGCCCAACATTTGAGTTCTTGAGACTGAGGATTCAAATCCTTAAGTGGCTGAAGATTTGTGATTAAGAGCCTGCTGATTTAAAATCCCACAATGGCACTTTCTAGAGCCCTGGCACAGCCGTGTCAGTGACAGGAAGCCACCAGGATGTCACCAAATGCCACATCTGATGCCAAGAGGCTGAGATCCTAATCGCTGCTTGTTACACACCCTGATCCCCAGCCAGCAGCTCCAGGTGAGCTGGCCTCCATCAGTATAAGTCCGGGGGACCCCACAGTGGGAGGTTCCAGGTTTTCCAGGAAAGATTCCAGGGTCACAAGCCCACTACTTCTGGCCCATTCCCAGCCTGGCTGTCCCCAGATCTGTAGCCTACAGTGGAATCTCAAGGCTGTTGAGGGTTTTGGGGTAGGCCCTGCCAAGATAGGGGAGGAAGAGGCAGAGATGATGCCAAATGGACGGCTGGCGAGCTGGCTGCCACGTGCCAGGAAGGGGGTGGGGCAGCGCCAGAGTCAACACGGTCCCCAACATCTGCCAAGCTGACTGAGTCCAAGCCACTATTGACACTGGCTGCACAGGTGCCTGGCCAGCTGGGTGGACAGGCAGCACCGGCAGCTGGACCTGCCACAAATGGGCAAAAATAACCTCCTAGAACCACAGGGCAGGCCCCCGCTGGCCCAAAACCTCCCTCAACCCACTTCATCCTATTGCCTGTGGGACCCAGGCCAGTAATGTCTGGTCCCTATGGACAAGCCAAGCTGGGTCCCACCTCAGGACCTTTGCATGGGCTGTTTCCTCTGCCAGATGCACTATTCCTCTGTGTCTATGCCTGGCTCCTTTTCCTACAAGGCTCAGCCCAAAGGTCACATCCTAAGAGGTGCCTCCCTGCTTCCCCTGTAAAGACACCAACCACATCCCATGTTTCTATCCACTTACTTGTTCAGACATTCTCCAACCACAAAAAGGAATAAACCATGAGAGTGACTTCATGACACTGAAGCTCCCTGACTATCTGGCCTCAGAAACTCTGACCTGACCCTGGGCATCCTGAGACATCACTATCATGTCCCGAACAAGTGGGACAATGGCTCCCAAGGCCCTTTGATCCTGACATAAGAGAAGGTCTCTGGGGTCAGGGATTCTAACCCCTTGTCGCCACCTGGCCGGACCACCACCATCTCCCACCTCCTGTCAGTGTTGGGGCCAGGGGAGCAGGGGTTGTGTCAACCTCTGACTCCCCAAGGGCCGCACAGCCTCGTCCCTCCCAACCAGCTGTGACCCTGTGAGTCCAGGGGGGATCTGTCCAGCATTGACCCCCCAGCCTGGGGCTCCCCAGTGGCTGTGTTCAGGGCAGACAGCAAATATTCAGTGAATAAATAAATGACTTGCCGTCAACGTGCCTGTTTGTGTAATGTTGAACCCAGACAATGTCAGGGGCTCGGAGTCTGCAGAATCTGCCAACACAATGCCTCAGTTTTCTCATCTACAAAACGGGGTGAGCAGCTGCCCAGGAAGACTTTCCTTCCTAAAGGGTGGGAAACTGAGGCAGAGAGCAGGGTAGAGCCATCAGTCCCACATGCAGGCTCAGGCTTGTGTACACACACAAGGTGTTTAACTCTCCCTCTCATCCTTGAAGTTGGCTGTGTCCACCCTAGCAGTACCATCCCTCCTGCCTTCCCGCCTCCTCCATCCCTGTCACTCCCACCACAGGCCCTGGCTTGTCCCCATGGGTCCAATTCCCAGTTCTTTCATCTGTGAGTTTTCTGATGGCCTGAACTTAAGTTTCTGAGGGCTGCTGGATCCCAGCACTCTTTTCTCTAAGTGAAGCTGAGAGAGAAGCTACTGGCTTTGTGCCCCTAGAGACCAGCACAGGGTAGCTGGGCTTCACCTTCCTCTGGGAGGATCCCACAGCCAATCCAGGAGCCAGCATCTGGAGGGCAGCTGCCCCGAAGCAACTCCTGTGCCCTGTTGTGTCCACAGCAAGGCTGGGCTCTGGGCCAGGGAAACCAGGTCCCCTCCAGCTACTCCTAGAGGTCGGGGCAGAGCCCAGCTGGCGGAAGATGGAATGCAAGCCCCACTGGCCGCCTGCGCCGCCATCTGGTTTCCATCTGCCCAGCCCAGCTCGGACAAACTTCAAAGGATGCCCCGCCCGGCCACTTCCTCTGCCCTGGCTGCCCTTGGGAAGGCACTAGAATGGCCTGCTTCCTCCCCGCCCCTCCAGAGCCCCAGGGTGCTTGGCTGTCCACACCAACGTGGCCACCTCCTGCTCAACCGCCTGGGCCTCAATATACTGAACTCCACTCAAGAGATCAGACTGACAAGGCCTCCAACCCCAGGTCACCCAGCCACACCCATAACACATGCTGAGCCAGGACATCGCACAGCCTTTGCCTGGGCCATTCCCTCCACTCTGAACCCCTCTCCTTGCTCTGTCTCCCTACTTGTCCTTCTGGTTTGGGGCAGACACCAAGAGCCCCAAACTTCTCCCTCCTGGCTTGTGTCCCCCATATCCATGCATTTGACAGCCAACCAGCTCACCCATGGGATCCCTAGCATTCAGCTTGGCACTTGCATGAGGCAGGCAAAAGCCAGCCATCAGGCTGGTTGGAAGAACCCAAGAGACAGACAGGTGGGCCCCTGCCTCTGCTGTCCCCATTATGACGCATGACCCACCTGCTTGAACTGCTCCTCATATGTCCAGTCCCCGTGGTCAGGAGGCTGCAGCTGGGGTACCACGTGGGCAGCCCCTCCAGGGTGGGCTGGGCCAGCCCCTGGGCGCTCCTGGCCGCCCAGCACCCGGGGCCCACCATCACCACCACGGAAGGCCTGCGGCAACTGGGCCTTGTGGGGGAACATGGCTGCAGGGCCCAAACCAGCAGCGCCTGGGGGCCCAAGCCCCTCCTCATCCTCGTAGTCTTCCTCATCCTCTTCTTCATCCTCATCCCCCATGTCTTCCTCCAGCTCTTCCTCCTCCTCTTCCTCCTCTTCCCATTTTGGCTTCCTGGGGCAGGCAGAGATCGGAGGTCAGGGAAGAAGGCACTAGCTCACCCCTGCCTGGGGGCAAGGCCAGCTCCTCATGCCAACCTGGGTTTCCCTCTCAACACGGAGAGGTTGGGCCTCACTTGCCCCAGCTGCTGATAGGGCCTATAAGCATAGTGTGGGCCATACACCTTTTGGTCCCAATTAGCTCTGACCAACTATAGCTGTTCCTTTGACATAAACCCCAGACCTTGCCTAGTATTAACTGGCTCCCCCCTCTCCCTGACTTACCAGCTGCCATGCTGAGCCTTGAAAATGTCAAGCTGGTTCCTTCCTTAGGGCCTTTGTTAAGGCTGTTCCCTCTACTAGGCATGCTGTTCCAGGCTCCCCTGGTCCTTCCTAGGGACTGTTGCCACTTTGCCCATATTTCTAGAAAGTTAACCCTGTTCCCAGCCACCCCCATCCCCTATACCTGTTTCATTTGCTTCGCAGCCCAAATCACAACCTGTAATCACCCCACTTCTTTCCTTGTTAAAGTCTTCCCAGCCAGGCTGGGCATGGCTCAGTGGTTGAGCACTGACCTAGGATCTAGGAGATCATGGTTCGATTCCTGGTCAGGGCACATGCCCAAGTTGTGGGCTTGATTCCCAGTCAGGGGCGTGTAGGAGAGAGCTGATCAATGACAACTCTCTCATCATTGATGTTTTTATCTCTCTTTCTCCCTCTCCCTTCCTCTCTCTGAAATCAATAAAGATATATTTGAAACAAAAAAAAAAAAAGTCTCCTCAGTGCCGTGGCTAATGTGTCTCATTTGGTGGGATGTCATCCCATATACCAAAAGGTGGTGGGTTCTATTCCCGGTCAGGGCGCATACCCAGGCTGCGGGTTCAATCCCTGGTCGGGGGGCATGCGGTAGGCAACCAATCGATGTTTCTCTCTCTCTCCCTTCCTCTTTCTCTCAAATCAATAAAAAAAATTTTTTTAAAGTCTTCCCAGAAAGACTCCACTGGGGTCCCACCAGCACCCAGCTCAGGGCCCGCATTAGACCCCTGTGAAACACAGACCCCAATGAGCCAACCAATGCCCACCCCTGTGCAGGTCCTACCCAGTCCACCAACTTTATTTATCTGCCCCTGATGTTGGATCTGCTGTAGCCTCACTAGGCGATGGGGCCACTGGCCATGTGTGGCTAGTTCTGTTTAAATTAAGGTGAAATAAAGCTACAAACGCTGACCCGTGGCCACATATTTGGCACTGGCCACATTTCACACATTCAGTAGCCACTTATGACTGACTAGACAGTGCAGATGGAGAACATGTCCACTGTCATTCAGAAAATTCTAAAGGGTGGCACTTCCCTAGGGAACTGTGTCTTGCCCTTACAGCTCTGTCACCAAGACCTAGATACCATTCAGTGCACAAAGCCCTTGGACCCTCACTCACAGGTCATCATCAGAGCCCATATCTTCGAAGTGCCCATCGCCTTTGGTATGTCCTGGTGCCTCCCTGCCTCGGCCAGGTGAGCCTGGTTGCCCCTCCTGGGCAGTGTCCTCATCCTCCGAGCTGGGGGGCCTGTCCTCGGAGCCACTTGGGCTGGGTGCAGATCCAAGGCCAGCGGCAGCAGCCCGCATGGCAGCCAGTGCAGCCATCTGTGCCTGCTGCATTCGGGTGTTCTCGGGGTCTCTGTCCTCATCCGAGGCAGCCCTGGAGAGGGCTGGGGGACCAGCAGGGGGATCAGGCAGCAGTGGCTGCCGGGCCTCCAGCTCCTGGCGTGCCCGCTGCTGCCGCTGCAGGAGTGTCTCCATCACAGCCTGCAGCTTCATGGCCCTGCGGGCTGGGCCGCCCCGGGTGCCAGGGGTGGGTGGCAGGGGCGGCCCCTTCGGGGAGGGGGCCCGGCCGCACTGCAGTGTGGGGGCCGTGGGGGAGCCGGGGCAGTGCAGGGTGGCGGAGGGTGGGGCCACTCGGCTCAGGCTGAGGGCTGGTGGGGCATGCCAACAGGCGGCACCTCCTTCTCACGCCAGGCACAGAGGGGCAGCGGCTGGCATCCAGCTCATTCGCGTGTTTGCAGAAACCTGAGGGTAGCAAGAGAGACTATCAAACCACACTGGGCTCCTTAGCCTCATCCTCCCAACTGAGGTTGTATGGCAAAGGCCTCTAGGAAAATCCCTCCCATCCATTCCCATCAGGGTGCAAACCTGGAGGCCTCCCCGGAAGTGGAGAAGCACATTCTCCCCATCTACTCTTCCTCTGTCCACCCTCCAGTGGGCTGGGAAGCAGAGTTACCCCACACTCGACTCCCAAGGATCTCAAGGCGGCCCCACAAAGAAATATGCAGTCACCAACTGCACCTCCCAAAGACCAGCGTGGATTATTGCTTCATAAACAGGGCAGAGGGACAGGGCATTCCTGGCCTCTGATTGGCTACAGCTGGCTGCCAGGCACCAGAGACCAGGTGGGTACTGGGTTCTGATTCCAGGTTCTAGGTGCTGGTGCCACCTGGCCCAGAGAGCTCCAGGTACCCTCTTCTCTCTCAGGCTAACAGAGACTATGGCTGGCCCAGACTGACTGCTTGCTGTATACGGGCCCTGAGCTAACCTTCCACTCATGCTCTCAGCCCTAAGCCTCAACCACTCTGGACCTCAGTTTCCCCATATGCAAAATGTATCCTAACTGCATCCACCTAACTGTGCTCGGGCAGAGATGAAGTGAGTTTATGATGGTGAAGACACATACAAAACAGGCACCACATCATGTAAGTGTTAGGGAAGGAGACACTAGGTTGTCCCCATTTTATGGATGAGAGAAACTGAGGATCGGAAATGCCCTGCTAATCAGGGTCTGGGTGCCATGAGAGCCTCTCACACTGTCCCCATGTGCTCTCTGCAGGGGACTTCCCCTGTCCTTTGGGACCCCAAGTAGGGCCAACATCCCAGAATGCAATGCGCTCTGTCCCTAGCCTGGGGTCCCTTCAGATCACCACCAACCCTAATTGCCAGGGCCTCAGGCAGGCTTCCGAGAGGGATATCCCAGAGCCTGGCACAACCAGGCTCCACTAGGACAGGAGGACTGGGTCTCACCACTGCCCCCCACCCACCCACTCAAGCCGCCAATAAACAAATGGGCAGAACCCAACAGGCCTGGTGGTGACACCCCAGATGGTACATCAAAAGGGCAGTGGGGAGGGCAGGAGGGTCCAGGAGGCTGCCCCTAACCCAGCATATGAACCCCTAAAAGCTCTTAAGCCATTCATGGGGCAGAAGGGTCTCACACAGGAGGGGTCAGCAGGCAGAGGCAGAGGCTCCTGGTTTTAGCTGATGCCAGATCACCACTGTGGTGACTTGCTAAAAGGAGCCTGACACCACCTATGAGACTTGCAGTGTAGCTCCCTTCCAATTTCCCCTGTCGTGGGAGGGGCCCTACAGAGTCACAGTGAGCCCAATGACCCTCCACCTTCTCCCAGACCAGCCACTCTTTACTCAGACCCCCTGGGCTTCTTGGGTAAAAGGGCAATGGGGGACAGGTGAGTGGCCCCTGTAAAAAGTGAGAAGGGACACCCCCCCCAAAGGACCTCAGTATCCAGCAGAGGCAAGGGTCCCTGGGCACAAAGACCCTCTCAGAGGCCGCAGTGCTGGAGTGACCAGCACAGCAAAGCAGCACCCAGCCACCCCCTCCCCCACTGGCAGTCATCCTCTACCAGCTCCAAGAAGTGCTGAGGGGACATTTCTCACCCAGTGTCTAGGGCCCACTGCCCCTCCCCCACTTTTGACAACTTCTAGACAAGCCCCCTCCCATGGAAACGCTCCAGGCAATGCCCCCCCCCTCTTTGGGGGGGGGGGTATAAGGAAGAGGCCAGAGGAAGCCACTCCCTGAACGCTGCCCCCGCCTGGCCTGCTAGGTTTAATGACCCTTCCGGGTCACCGTGTGGGGGAGGGGAGCAGGGCTGGCCTTCATGCCAGGGCTGGAAGGGGCCGGTGGGAACCCTGGAGCCTCTCTTCGCCAGGCCTGGGCCCCCTCCAGGCTGCCATTAACCCCAAACTGGCAGAGCCCACCCCCCCAGGCCCCTCCCCTCAAGAGCCCTTTGTCCTCGGCCCCTACCCCCACTTTATGACAGCCCCATGGGAAAGGCATTCCCAGGCAGGGACCTGGCAGGGATGGGGGGTGCTGAGTGGTCGGTCGTTAGGACCTGGTTGGGGGGAGACGAGGAGGAATCGGGCCACGCCCTCCCCCACAATGCCTCTGGGAGAGAGAGGTCACCCGCTCCGGCCGGGGCTTGCAAAACACGGTTATTTAAAGAGTTGTGCAAGGCTGGGGCCCGCGGGTGGCGAAAGGGGCCCCTCACTCCATGGAGGGAAGAGGAGGGGGAGGGTGGGGCNGGGGAGGGGGCAGCCCGGAGGAAGTGAAAAAGGAAACACTGAAGAAGAAGAAATAAGACGACAAAAACCCCAGTCCGGTTTCAAACGCTTCTTGGAAAGCGGCCGATTTGCATGGGTGGGGGGGCAAACCCTCGACCCGGGCGAGTAAAAAACGGAAGATTATTGACAAACGCGCCGTCCGAGATCAGACACCGAACGTTGGAATTGACAAACGCGCGCTCCTCGCGCTTCCTCCGCCTGCTTTGTGTCTGGGGGGCACTGAAAGGGGGAGGGGGCTTTCCCTGGGGATCCCCGCCAGAAAGCCGGGGGCCCAGGCCGAACCCACCCCCAGAGCGGGCACCGCGGTGTCCCCTCCCAGGGCCCCTTTCGGCCCGGGGACAGACACTTTATAAATAAACCTTCCAAACAGGAGAGGGTCACCAGGGAACTGCCCTCCCCACCCGGCGCTCCCACTCCCCTCAGGGTTCCCGAAAAAAAAAAACACACCAGATTCCGGGGGAAAAAATGAACTAAACCCGGAGCGCAGCCCCCCGCGCGCGCCTAGAGACCATTTCCTTCCGCTAGAGGGGAGTGCATTTGCGACCCCCGATCCACCCAGCGCGCGCGCACGACCCTGTGCAACATGGTAGGTGATGAGGTCAACAAGAGGGTGCAGAGAAAACCATCCCAACTCCGACCCACTAGGGTCGCCTTCCCGACGCTGGACCCCCATCCACGTCCCTGCCCCACTTAGGGGACCCCCCTCACCAAGGACCGAACCCGCGATTTAAAAGGCGAGAACCCCCACCCCAGCCTCACCGCGAGGGGCCCGCTCCCGGGGCGCATGCCC